TAACGCAATGGGTTTTCTTAATAAATAAAGAAGTAAATATTAAATGGATGTAAATATATATCATAATAAATGATTATATAATGAATCTTGTAATTCCATTCTAATATTATTTGCAAATAAGAATATTTTCCCTCAATTTAATATGTACGAGTCGGTCGATTTATTTGACGAAACAAGAGGTGCAAAACAAATTAAAAAATGTCTTTCTTTTGACACTAAAAAAGCTCACCACTTGATCTACTGGTTTTGTGTCGTGAGAGTCCCTCAATCTTGTGTAAGATGGGACCCTTGATCCAGATTTAATCAAATTCGACAAATGATTTACATTAATTCACATTCACTTTGAGACTCGAGGATCTGTCTGTAACTCTTTTGTTTTCAAGGGATTCTTCAAGAACCAATATAAATTTTTTTTTTCATGGCGTCACCAGAGACTATTGCTGTATGGACTCTATTCTATAAACAGCTAATAATTATAAAAATGACTAGTCTCAACGCTATTCCGTGTTATTCACGGTAAACTTGAAGATATTCTTGTGTTTACAGATTCAATCAATTATGTTTGAGCCAGTTACGAGGCAATCAGAATATGTTAGGCCTGCCTTCATGGATGTGTCATCTAAGTTGTAATCCGAGAATAATGAAAGTAAAACAGGAAATTCTCCAAGAAGCAATAATTTTTTATGTATTTAGCACTGAAAATAAATTAAAAGCAAGATATTCAAAAAATGTTAAACATGAAAATCAAAACCCATAGGACATTTTTTGCACCTGTGTAGAATACTATACATTTATTAACTGAGTTGGAGGGCAACATGCGTTTTGTCTGACCCAATAACCAAACTGTCTGCCTGAGACCGTTAGGCCGAAGGCAGACAGTTTGGTTCGAGGGTCCGACAACGCATTTTGCCCGAGAACTCTGTCAATAAATGTTTTGTTATACCTTCATTTTATTAAGGTCTTCCGTCTTAACGGAAGACCTTATAGCGATTCTATTGTTTCTTATTATTATTATTATTATTATTATTCTGACGCGATTTCTCAAAGACTACTGGATGGAATTACATGAAATTTTCAGGACAGATGTGTTGTTAAATTGATTTGATACATCTGAGAGATTTTTTGGAAATTCGCTTCCGGTGCCAAGTTATAGACCTTTTTCTGATTTTTAAAATGACATTTTGTCTGCGGATTTTCTCAAGAACGGTAAAAGATATCAATGTGAAACTTTCAGAGATCATAGATGAAGATAAATACTATCCAGGACGCGACACTTCGTTTGTCGTCATTACTTCCGGTCGCCACCGGAAGCCAATTTAAAAAGTCCAATTTTTCAACTTTTTTTGTTTTTCAATATTTTTCGTTTATTTTTGGAATGTTAATAGAGACCTTTCTTATAATGCTTACTATATAATTTGTTTAAATAATGATAGATCTAAACTCTAGATATTAGCATTTAAAAATCTTAAGCATTCCAAAATGGCCGCTCTATCTGTAAAGTCCGACATTTCGCAAAAGGGGTTTAAGGAGGCATCTGAGCGTTTGCTTAAACGAAAGTTAAACGAGGACAAATGAAATATAAATTAAAGGAGTACTTGGCACGTCGTAGTTACGTTGCAATTCTGTATCAAACTAAGTTCTTCTTAAATGTCTTCTATAATTGATTTTGGTTGGTTCTTAAAGTAGAAAAAGAAAAGACCAAATGCGCAAATGAAATTCGATACCTAATATCTTCTGATTGCACCACGGAAAAGCAGATCTCAAATCATTGTTACAAGTAATTTTTTTTAAAAAAAGAATATCAATGAATACAGTAAGAAAAAAACTTACCCAATTTTTCCCCATGCACACTTGTGCCATATTAAACTAATAGAAAAGACAAAATAAAATAACAATATTTTTTAGAAGATCGCTTAACGGCGTTTATATTAACATTATTGTCTCAAAGATCTTATTCAAGTTATTGGGCACAAACGGTATCCAACGCCTTGACCGTCGTAAGGTGAACCATTCTTTTTCGCGAAACATTTGAATCTCTTCATAAACATGAAATTTAAAAAAAAAAAGAAGTTAAAATTCATAGCCGCTTCGTTTTAGTGTTACTTGCCTAATGCACATGCTATATGGAGTTTGTGAAATGTATTAAATACACTTTGTAATCATCAAATTTTAGGCTATATGAACGTTTTATTTTTAATTTCATTGAAGCTATCACACCTATTAAATAGAACATTACCAAGAAAAGACGCGAAGATTAACTCGTGGCGTTTGGCGTGAAATTATGAATAGTGACTTAGCCTTTCATAATTCTAAGACAAAAGCACTTTATACAGAGGTACTGTGTATACAAGAAGATTCAGAGAAGAGGTCCCAACAGCGTACATTTTATTTAGCGCGTTGGATTTTCATTCTGGCGACTTGGATTCAATCCCCCTCTGTGCAATATTTTCAGCTAGAGTTTAGGGGGTTTTTTCCGAATCGGACGGAAGACCTCTCGTTGCTCGCAACGAGATCGTATCTACTCTTATTTTATTTTTTTACGTACATGTATTTTGTACTGTGTTTCGTGATGTAATATTAGGTTTGTCACTCTTTTATACAAATAAATGAAAATGAGATTAAGCTCCGTCCATTTTGTGACGTAAGCGGTCCAAACATCGATTTTTGCCCGCTCAGAAAAACATTAATACAGTTACTCTTTCAATAAAGATTAGTATAGGAACAAATTTTTAAAGGTATAACAAAGCACTATTAGATTCGATTTGTATTGATAGTTAGCTGTGAAACCATGTAAACAATTATTAACAAAGTTAAAAGTGATAAGGAAATAACTCTGTGGCCACTTGTGGTTGCTTTAAATCGTACCCCCATTTCAACCAAAAAAAAAAAATCTAGAACATTCAGCATGCAAACAAGCTTCATTTTTAAAGTAAAAGTCGGCCTGTAATTTTTTTGAAATAAATCTCCGAAATCTAAATTAAACAAGAGAATCTTGCTGTAGAAATTACGAAAGTCGTTCAGAAATTAAGCGGACTTGGAGTTCCTGTTATGCTTGAGTTACCTTGTCTGTTCAACATCCATGCACTATTTCTTGGCAAACTTAAAATCTAAAAAATAAGTAAAGCGTATTCTTTTTTTTTTTTTTAATACCAAAAACTGCAAGTACATATATATGAAATACTAGTATAGTGTGACATTGGTCATTCTATTTTAACCCCTTCCATGGCATAGATTTTAAACATGTCTAGACAAATTGATATTAAGATTTTAATGCATTTTTCTGGTATTTCTTGTAATTTTAGTATATACCAATGCATATATATTCTGAAAGCAGGTACTGTGTACTTTCCGAAAATGATTATAAAAATATAATTTTAGTTGCCATGGCAATGAAATACAAAATAATCATGCTTGAATTTCCATTTATTTAATAATGAGTTTCATTTTGGTTTTTCTTTGCTCTGTTAAATATATTTAAAAATATTTTATTGTTGTGTTTTTATGAGCATGTTGTACATTTTTTAAAAATCCAATTTAAAGTATTTTAGAGAAAATGGGCAGGGTTGTTAGGTACATGTAATCACCAGAATTTAGCATTTTTACATATAACTTGTTACCCCTGCATTGATTTCAATAATGGCAAATTCGCTCAAATAGTGCACAAAGTTTAAGACAAGCTAGCAAAATAGTGGTACAACCAATAAAAAAATTTTCTATATATTTTTTATCGTAATTATGTTTTCTTTCTAACGGTGCAAGAATTATTCTGATATTTGTAGTATTAACGAAGTTATGAATGTTTGAACACAATAAACATCTTTTTCAAGTCAGATGCGTAGAAATGCGTATATGCCTTGGAAGGGGTTAACAGCACGTATCAAGTTTTCGCACAGGCACCTTAAGTATGGATCGATACCCCATCCTCTTGAAAGTTTTCATTTAAAAAAAATGTAAGAGCGTAAAATATGTCAAAAATATTTCTTTAAAAATTCCTCTTCAATCACTTCCATATGTCGTTCTATGCAAGCAGATTTTTCACGTTTAGCGAATGGCCTTATACCGCGCTATAATAAAAATCAAACCGCTTAAGGTTATTTTCTAAAAGTTATGGTTCGAGTTTGAAATTTAAGCTCTTATTTTCATAACTATGTTAAACATTAATGACATATTTTTTAATATTTTTTGTTATAGACTTGTATATACCGTATATTATTACATATGTGCCTGGAGTCATACTTTTGTGGATTTAAGAAAAAACTCTGTCCATGGGGATATGATTTCATGAAAGAATAAATGACATATGTGTAATATTTTACATTTCGTGATTGACATTGCTTGCGAGGTTCTTCATACCTCAAAGACAACGGAAATAAATATCTAACAAAAAATTATGACTCATCACAGCAGCTACTTTTATATACCTATTATTAATTTTATCAAAAGAAACAAACATCGCAACAATTATCTGAAAGTTAAATGAACAGGACAAGAATACTAGTAACAGGTAAAGAAAATAATAAGAATAAGAGAATCAGGTAAAAAAAAGAAGCCCGCAATAATAATTGGTATAAGTATAATATCAAATTCTAAACAGCCTCAGTTTATGACATCCACTACTTATAGTATTGGAGATATTCAAGTGTGAAATACACACTTAGCATGTGATGGTTATTCTTGTTTTGGTTTACATATTTACATGACACGGCAAGGAGGTTCAATTGCTTCAGTACTTCTGGCCTTATTATCAATTCTATTTCCATCTACAAAAAAATTAATGATACAACCAAACCACTTGAAGTGATAAGTACGTTCTCCTTTTGGCCCAGTATAAGTGATTTGTATTATGCACCATCAAGAAATTTCAAGTATTCTGCTTTAACCTTCCGCAATCTTGAGAAATTCCGAGATATCTCTTTATACTCATGATGTTATCCGATTGAGGAAATCCCCGAACGCCTCTATATATACCTCATGAAATGTCTTGTTGAAACACGACATTGATATCCTCTGGTAAGTTCGCGTAAAAATTGGAAGAATGATGTCTTTAATTCTGGTACTGTTCTTCATGTCAATACATCATGTCCTGGCGGCTTCCTTGTTAACCGGCACTAACGATCCGAACTCTTTGATCCACGACAGACGTGAAATAAAGGAGATCGATGTTCTGCGACAGCTCATCAACCAGGAGACTCTCATCCGTTTTAGCATTGTTAAAGACGTCAAAGCAACTGTGGATGACGTCAATTCTGTTAAGAGAAATGTCGCTTCCACAGAAACGCAGTTCTCCTCTCTTCAGCAGACACTAAATGGATTGAAAAATCAGGTCGATTCTCTAGCCAAAGATAAGAGATTAGCGGAGAAAGCAGAAACATTACAAAGGGAAGTTAATACTCTTAGCAGACAGAACCGGATTTTGACACAGAAGATAGAAAACTTGGAAAAACAGGTTGAAGTAAACAAGACAAACTTTTTACAGCAGATGGTAGACGCATTACAAAGACAGGTTACTTCTATGAGTCAGGAACAGAGAAGAGAAAACAAGAAAATTGCAAAGAATTGCGAGAACAAGATTCAAGAAATCGAGCAGAGGTTTAATAGAAACCTCACTGAGATTTACGAACTTCTAAACAACAGAACATTGCAAACCGTCACAAAAGGTATTCACTCTCTCTCTTTCTCTCTCTCTCCATGTATCTCTCTACCTCAGTGTGTATTTCTTATATCAATTATATGTTGTTCTTTTTAAGATTCCAAAATAATTACGGACTGTAAGGATCACTTTCTACAAGGTTATAAACAATCTGGTATATACAGTATAAACCCTTTCTGTAACGAGACTCAGGTACACGTGTACTGTGATATGGAGACAGAAGGCGGAGGGTGGACAGTAAGATTTCTCTCCCTTTCTTTTGAGTTTTTGAAAAAAAAAATTAAAAAAACAGATTTTTCTTTATTCTGTCTTAAAGATATTTATTTTCTGTTGTTAACTTGTAGGCAATCCAGAAGCGAGTGAGTGGATCTGTAAGTTTCGACAGAACGTGGGTGGAGTACAAGGATGGGTTTGGTTCCCCTAATGACTCCTACTGGATAGGTCAATAATTATATTACTTTATTACTTTATTAGCAATGTTTATGTTTTTTTTGCATCTGTGTATGTTTCAGGGAAAACAATTTTTTTAAAAATGCATTTCTTTGCAATTCATATCTTTTCAATACTGTATGAATTGATATAGCAATTTTATGTATATTGATTAAACTTAATACACCCGTACAATTAACTATTGAAGGAAATGACGTCATTCATCAGCTTACTAAGGGAAGAAACTCCTCTTCCTCCCTCTACGTCTCCATAATGTTACAAAATGGAACAATTTTATATGAACTATATCGACAGTTCTCTGTGTCTGATGGAACGGACAAGTACAAACTTTTTCTTGGAGGTCCAGCTACCGGAACTTTGGGTAAGTGATAAGTAAAGTGTGTGTTACAACGCACTTTGAAAAATTACGTACTTTGGAAAAAAAAAATTCAAAGTGCGTTAAATTTGGAACCAAATTAACGCACTTTGAAAAAATAAAATTTCTTTTCAAAGTGCGTTTATATCAACCATATAAACGCACTTTGAAAAAAAATGTATGGGTCGGTCAATATTCTTGAAAATCTTGGGAATGATAAATAATTTAACATGTTTGTTAAGTCTTCGGTGGTTAGGTCACTCCAGGATGTAAAAGTGAGCGATTTTCATTTTTCTATGCTTTGAAAATTCTTTCTTATCAAATGTTTTACTGTCAGTAATTTTTTTTCCAGTTTGCATGCATGTTATATAAACTAAAATTTATTCAGTATTGCAAATAAATATATATACGTGGGTGTAACATAGGTGTATTTACCGGAAGGGGGGGGGGGGGGGGGCTTAAACACACAATTTTTTTGCAAAGATATACATATCATAGGCATTGAAAATTGTTTAAGAAAAAAGAGTTGAGCTGAGAGACCTTCTACTTCTCCTTGTTCTCAATAATGAGTACATGTAAATTAAGTTTTTCGAAAGATGTAATTAATATTATACATAGTAAAATCTAATTCTAGAATTTTTGTTTTATGCATAATTTTTTCAAAGTGCGTAAAATGTCATCGTGGTGATAAATGCATTTTTTTTTCAAAGCTGCATAATTTTTTCAAAGTGCTTTGCCACAAGTGTGTGACTATTCATTGATCCGGCACTGATAAAAAAAAGGGAGAGAAATAATGAGAGTGAGAGAAGAAAGGAAATGAACAATTAGGAGAAAGAGAGGAAAATAAAAAAGAGATGTACTTCTCCTATAAGACGGATATGGCAATTTTAATCCGTCTTGTCTTCCGCTAGCAAAATGAATGTATGCTCTATCTCTTATTAATGCGTTGCCCCCCCCCTTTAAAACAATAATTCTTTTTAAATAATATTAGATTAATATTTTAATACTAAGTACGCCTCCCTCACTATATTATGTAACTATATTAATGGTTAAATGTCTTTAGAATATCATTTTTGCATTGAATGAAGAGAAATTCTGTAACATATTTAATGCTAATACTATTGTATTTGTGAAATTCATTCATAAATTTTAACGATTCCTATCAGATAATTTATTTTATTCACGTCACGCTATTCACCACAAAACTATCGTATCATATAATTCTGCTCGGCGTCTTTACGCTTAATACGCTAATACCAGAAAATAACGGCATGTTATGATACAAATAATAGATCTAGAGAGAGAAATGGAACATTATAAATGATAAATTGCTATTATGTACGTAATTTTGATGTATTCATATTTTTTGATTATTTCACTGAATATGGGGAAATATTGTTTAGAAAAGAGTGAAATTGAGTTGAGTGAGTTAAAGAATTAGATATTACAACGGAAATCAATGCATTTATTTCAATGATAATCTACATAACTTGAGGTATAATGCTATTTCAAAGTTTATGTAACTTGTTTGAGTCCTGTGTATGGTGTGCATAGTTCATTGGAATCATTCCAATGTCTTTGTTACTTGTTGGACATTCATTTAAGTATCATATATCAATTAATTTATTTCAAAGTTCATGTATCTTGATTTTGTGTTGAGTAGGGATGATTGATTTTGAAAACTTTCAAGAAGTAAATGAAGGACCTTGAACTGAGTTAAGTTTCATTTTATTTTTTTTTTACAGGTGACGCTATGTTAGATACAGGTTATTCCTTCCACGATCTGTCTGGGATGTCCTTCTCTACCCCGGACAGGGATAACGACGGATGGATTGGTGGACACTGTGCTGCTCGCAGTAACCGTAGAGGAGGTTGGTGGTTCAACAGATGTCACAACGCCTTCCTTAACGGTCAATGGTCATCGTGGTCCTGGTACAGACCATGGTATCCCACAGTGAATGATAGGGCATTAGTGAGGAAGACAATGATGCTAATCAAACGTCACTAGGTAAACAACTGGTTTTGAATGAAATAAATTTTATTATCTGAAATCGTAGCTATAAATAGCCGCAAGAAAAGATTTCTAGTTTATCCTTCTTTTACACTGTTTTGTTTTACAGATGCAGAATCAAAAAAGAAGAGATGGACAAATTATTTTCATTATTATTCTATTATTCTATTGATGTTAAGAATTCCTTGTTTCAATAAACGTTTCTTAATAAAATTGGTAATCCTTGTGAATGGATATCTATTTGTGTACTTGAATAATGTCGAAATTGATATCATCATTATTTGTATACATTTTAATGTTAATTGTACATATACTATTACATACCTTATTTGTTATAGAACTAAGTTGTATATGTGTATATATTAAATGTTAATTATGTCAATGTCTTTGTCCTCATTTTTTATAATTTTTTTTTCTTTTAAATTTTGTTTCATTTGAAAATAAAGTATAATAATCATGCCTTAAAGTCTATTTAAGGTAAGGTTTGCGTCTCCCTCCAACTCATATTTTTTTTAATATGCACACATGCTATATATCAATTTATTCAGGTAGATTAGCTTCATCATTTAATATGATTTTCAAAGATATTGCCCGTCCCATTTTTTTAGTAAGAAAAGCCAAATTTAACGCATTTCATATTTCACCTCGAATATTATTTTCATTGAAAAAATTGATTTATTTTATAAATTATCAAACTTTCATAATTTAAATGACCTGAATTAGTATAATTCATGCTTCTATTATTCAAACTTTTAATTTTCCGTTATCAAAAATGTGAAAATTTGGGTAAAAAAGAAGATTTTTCAATTTTCCTTTGTAAAGTGAAACCGTTGCCATGGCAACAAAAATATAAAAATCAACGTTTTACATATCTACTGATTCCATCAAAATCCATGAAGTTATTAATTTGATCATTTTCATTAATCTGAACTAAAAAAATATGTATGTCCCCAATATTATTTCCATGGAAACAGGGGCTATATTATGGGTTCGGAACATAAAAATCAGGCTTTTTCTACACTTTTAAAGAAAACATTGATATCACCTTGCCATTGTGAATGTTAGAGCTAAATGTTATTTTTGATATTGTTTTTAAGCATAAATTGGCCAAAAATATTCAAAATAAAACTCCTCTTGTGCTACATGATGGTCTAAAAATTTATTCCGTGGAAGAACTCTAGTATTTATGGCAATCTTTACATCTGAATATTCTGATGAAATTGTCCATGAATTATACTGCAACACCTTTAGAAGTACATGTATATGTCTATAAACATACTTCAGAACATTTTGCAACTAAACCAATTGAAAGCCTATGAATTTGACCTCATGCTGATTTATTTATTCCAACATGTAGTAACTTCTAGACATCTTTGTAGCAAATTTTCTTTATTCAGTTATGGCTGGTGATTGTCATTATACATGTATGCCATTTTTTGAGTGAAATGTTGTAAGCATTGCATCCACGAAGCTGCTGTTTTTATAATTAAATGATTTCTTTACTTCGAAGAGTAGAAATGCTATCTTTAAAGTAATGTTTGTTTGCCCTCTCTTGACTCAGGGTAAAATTATTGGGTCGATAGGTGAGAAAATCTTCAACAACATTTTTTGAAGGGGGATAAGAGGAATAAAAAGAAAAAAAATATGGCCCTGCATTGAAAAAAAGTTTTCAGTCTGCTCATTTTAGTCAGTCGGTCTGGTGAGGCCAACAACCAAACATATTTTAAAGATAGCCTATTTCTACACTTCATGGACATTATCTCAATCATTGGATTAGGTAGTCTGAGAATCTAATTTAAAATTGAAATATCAAACAGAACAATATAAAGATGAATTCTAAGTGACATCAATTCATACTTTAATGAGTTTACAGAGTACTTCTGATTTCAGAGAAAAGGCAAATTCTGAAAATGACATAACACTGTCATAAATATTTGTCAAGAACAGGGAAAAAGAAGCAATGCTACAGTGATAGATATATCCCCTTGATATCCATGAACTAATAATTTAAATATAACAAAATTTTCTCCTTTTTAAATCAAATTACATAATAAAAGATTATAAATGTAAACACTTTTAAAACAAACTACATATATTTGTGAAAGATTTTAATTTTAGTAGATTACTAAACTGATCTTTTCATTCCTACTTAATTAACAACCTTACAATTTCCAAGTGTCATGTTTTAAACTGTTACAGTAAATATAATTATACATGTTCACTAGAGCTTTATGTACAAAACTCATCAGTTTTCAGAAATACTTATTTGAGCATATTAGGTCCTGGTAAGAACAAAATTTAATGAATAAAAATATTAATCTTAATTGTTCAGGTATTAATTTCCTTGCAATTTTACAAACCCTTTTAAGAAACTTGTTACATGTAAGTATAGACAAAAGCAACCTTCAATTAATACCTATGTAGTTATACATTTATTTTACTGAAAACAAATTCAAAGATGGACAAGCAGAGCATGAACTGCAATCATCGCATAATGATACACATCCTTTCTAAATATATGGAAAACAGCATGTATAATTATACTAGTTAAGGATGTTGTTGAACATTAAATTTTCTTCTATAATCTATAGGCCGCCCTCGTGGTGCAGTGGTTAGAGCGTCTGCTCTAGAGTCGCGAAGTAAGGGGTCAATCCTTACGTCGCGAGTTCGAATCCCACTGCGGAACGTGGAGACCGGTCCTTCGAATGAGACCGTATATACCGAGGCCCCGTGTCGCAGTAGGTGCTGGCACGAAAAAGATCCCTCACTGCTCAAAGGCCCTGAGTGCCGAGCAAAGGACAAAATTAGCAGCCCTCCACCGGCAAGTGGTGGCGTCTCCATATGAGTGAAAAATTCTCGAGAGGGAAGTTAAACAATATACAATCAATCAATCAATCTATCTATAATCTATAGACATATAAAAATATGCATTGGGAATAACAAGTCAGAAGTTCTTCTCCAAATCTCCATTGATTTTGCCATGTCTGGTTCAACATCTTAGCTTCATCCATCCAACTTTTTTTAATATTCTTGAGCTGATATGGGATGACCTCTACTTTGATTGATGGCACAGATCTTTTTAGGAAACACTGAAGTACTTTTTTTGGTTCTTATCTATTCCAATTAATGACCCATGATCTGAAATCACATATGTGTTCATTTTTACAATAACATTTAAAGAATTGCATTTTTTGAATAGCATAAGGAATTGCACTGAGTTTCATTCACTCAATGAAATGAATAAATTTCCAATATAATGAATGAAGAATCAATATGAAATTATTGTAAAATTTACAGACTGAATTAGTGAAATTCAAATGCTTGATCAAGAAAATTAATGTTCTTGTCATGCATAATCTGTATCTCTTTTTTAATAATTAGAAAATGGGATATTAATTAAAATCAAACCTCATTTAAAAAGGTAACTTGAACAATTGTATACCTGTTCTAAACAGCCTAAACAGCAAGGATTTTATTTTTCATAATTTCTTGAATGAATGCATTTTTAAATTTTTTGGCAATGTTGGGATATTAGTCACATCTTGACATCCTTGTACCGTTTATTCATCGTTTTTAGTCAGTAGATCATTCATAACTTTCAGTAAAATGAATAGTTAAATAATTACCTGATGAAAATACTATCAACAATCAAACTGTCAACATCATCATTGGACATGGTCAAATGCACCATGACTTTTCTTCCCGGTTCGGACTGCATATAGCATAATACTTTACAGGATACTCTCGGGTCTTTTCTTTTTTCTTTCCCATTCTCACTTATTTTAGTGTTGTGGTGAAGCGAGAAACACACATCAGCACAATGCATCAATGACTTTCTTCTGATCGGAATTGCCGTGCAACTTGCCACGTTTCGTATCAAAAATAAACAAGTCCTCCTTTATTGGTTCATCCACATGCATCACGCTATCTCAAAGGCTTCTAAGATTCCTATGCTTTGATTTGTTATACGACTTTCTCCTGAAAACGTCCTACGTTTTTAGGTGACAACAAACATCAAGTATGACAGAGGAAATTCGTTACGGAGATGCTTAGCATCGCTGTTTTAAATCTGCCTGTTTCAAACGTTTTGGTGATTCGCAAGAGTTATCTCCCTGTTAACGCAAACCTTACCTTAAACAATACACATTGTGAACAAAGCAAACCTCTACCTCTACAAATATTAATGAAGGGAAAACGAGCATTGTAAAAGCAATTGAAATGATAAATGTCAAGATTAACGGAAACGGAAAAAAAAAGGTTTTTTTTAGGAAATGTTTAATTCGCAGAGGTCCATAACGGAAAACAAGCAAAATATTTTCTGTCAAATTCAACAAAAAACAATAAGTGAAGGAGAATATATACAAATTGTTCAAATAAATGACAGCATATTACACCCAGGTCAATATACGTATTGTTTGTACAGGTGACAGTATATTACACCCAGGTCAATTTACGTATTGTTTGTACAGTTGACAGTATATTACATCCAGGTCAATTTACGTATTGTTTGTACAGTTGACAGTATATTACATCCAGGTCAATTTACGTATTGTTTGTACAGGTGACAGTATATTACATCCAGGTCAATTTACGGATTGTTTGTACAGTTGACAGTATATTACACCCAGGTCAATTTACGGATTGTTTGTACAGGTGACAGTATATTACATCCAGGTCAATTTACGTATTGTTTGTACAGGTGACAGTATATTACATCCAGGTCAATTTACGTATTGTTTGTACAGGTGACAGTATATTACATCCAGGTCAATTTACGGATTGTTTGTACAGTTGACAGTATATTACACCCAGGTCAATTTACGGATTGTTTGTACAGGTGACAGTATATTACACCCAGGTCAATTTACGGATTGTTTGTACAGGTGACAGTATTGCACCCAGGTCAATATATGGTGAAATCACTATGCCTTGGACGTCCTTGTTCTTCAAACTTTCTAAAGATGTCGCTTCCGATGGAACATTATAAAAAAAATTACAGTATAATTGTGGTACACAATTGTACATGTATGCTTTCTATTGAGAGAAATATCACTGATTTTTTTAATAACTCAGAATTCACCATAGATCTGACATTATTTACATCGGACAAACGATACTTCCCTGACAAAAAAGAACTATAGTAA